GGCTCGAACACAGGAAATGTCATAACAACAAACACATAGAAGACCTTGGTCCATAGGGAGCAAAATGACTATAAATGTCCTTAAATGTCCCGGATTATCACTGTCCTTAGACCCTCCTGCATAGACCCTCCTGCAAGGAACAACTGAAAATAACCTTGGGTAGGCCCACATTGAGTGGGGGGGATTGGTTCCCACGGACAGAAAGCCTATTGATCCAGGACGCAGGCTGTAGATCTAGGACTAAGGCTTTGCGGTGCAGGACTGAAGAGGTTCCCAAATTCCAGATGGGGAGGGGTTTGCAGCCCACAAGTCTGGGCCGGGGACACCAATCCACAGTTGCATAAAAGAGACTGGATTCAGGACTCCCATCATCACACCATGAAACAGACAATGGGACATCAGAATTATTTGTTAACGTTTTCTTGACAAAAATGTTTTAATGCACAAAAAAATCGATCGCGGTAAACCCGGAAGTAGCTATTAACAATGATTGAACGTTATAGGACACATCTGCAGAGGATCTTATTATGGATATAGGTTCAGTATATACAGTGCCTTGCGAAAGTATTTGGCCCCCTTGAACCTTTCAACATTTCGCCACATTTCAGGCTTCAAACATAAAGATATATAAAAAAAAAAAGTTTTTCAAGCATCAACAACAAGTGGGACACAATCGTGAAGTGGAAAGAAATTTATTGGATAATTTAAACTTTTTTAACAAATAAAAAACTGAAAAGTGGGGCGTGCAATATTATTCGGCCCCCTTGCGCTCATACTTTATCGCCACCTTTTGCTGCAATTACAGCTGCAAGTCGCTTGGGGTATGTCTATCAGTTTTGCACATCGAGAGACTGGAATTCTTGCCCATTCTTCCTTGGAAAAACAGCTCAGTGAGGTTGGATGGAGAGCGTTTGTGAACAGCAGTCTTCAGCTCTTTCCACAACTGGAAATTCTCGATTGGATTCAGGTCTGGACTTTGACTTGGCCATTCTAACACCTGGATACGTCTATTTGTGAACCATTCCATTGTAGATTTGGCTTTATGTTTTGGATCATTGTCCTGTTGGAAGATAAATCTCCGTCCCAGTCTCAGGTCTTTTGCAGACTCCAACAGGTTTTCTTCAATAATGGTCCTGTATTTGGCTCCATCCATCTTCCCATCAATTTTAGCCATCTTCCCTGTCCCTGCTGAAGAAAAGCAGGCCCAAAGCATGATGCTGCCACCACCATGTTTGACAGTGGGGATGGTGTGTTCAGGGTGATGAGCTGTGTTGCTTTTACGCCAAACATATCGTTTTGCATTGTGGCCAAAAAGTTTGATTTTGGTTTAATCTGACCAGAGCACCTTCTTCCACATGTTTGGTGTGTCTCCCAGGTGGCTTGTGGCAAACTTTAAACAAGACTTTTTATGGATATCTTTGAGAAATGGCTTTCTTCTTGCCACTCTTCCATAAAGGCCAGATTTGTGCAGTGCACGACTGATTGTTGTCCTATGGACAGACTCTCCCACCTCAGCTGTAGTTATCTGCAGTTCATCCAGAGTGATCATGGGCCTCTTGGCTGCATCTCTGATCAGTCTCAGTGCTCCTTGAGATGTTTAAAGCTTGGGAGATCTTTTTGTATCCAAATCCGGCTTTAAACTTCTCCACAACAGTATCTCGGAATTATATTGCACGCCCCACTTTTCAGTTTTTTATTTGTTAAAAAAGTTTAAATTATCCAATAAATTTCGTTCCACTTCACGATTGTGTCCCACTTGTTGTTGATTCATGACAAAAAATTAACATTTTATATATTTTATGTTTGAAGCCTGAAATGTGGTGAAATGTTGAAAGGTTCAAGGGGGCCGAATACTTTCGCAAGGCACTGTAAATGGTTAACTCTGCGCTGATGTAGTTTCAGAGCCTAATGGAGGCTTGATTCGGAGGCTCCGTGAAAACAAACAACTGACTATACGCGCAGCTACAAGCATCAGCGCGATGATTGTCAGCCCTTGGCATCACTTGATTGGTTAAAGTGGACGGAATTGTGGATTTTGAGCTATAGCTAAGAGAAGGGAAGGCGGGACTTACCCGTAATATTAGAATTCATAAAGTGACTTATTTTATATCAATATTTAAAGGAGCATTATGTAAAAATCTGGCCAAAAGTGGTACTGCAGTCAATATTTTGTAGTCCTCTCCAACTCAGGTTGTTAGATACACAAGGAATTATTTTATCAGTTGTTTGTCTCCATTCACATTGCCATGATAGCCGTGCTAATGTTGAATGAATGTTTTGAATGAATGTTTTTTTTATTTATTCTTTATTGGACATTTGAGATGAAAAAAAAAAACTAAATAAAAGCTATTTAATTATGCATAGATTATGCAAAATAAATAAGCAACTGATATCCAAAATAGGAGTGGGAAGAATGGATGTTGGAACGTATTTCTTCAGCGTATCAACATCAGGGTTTGCTCCAGAGGATATCACCTTTCAATTTTATTTATTCCCTATTTTTTAGACATGTATAAGTCCCACATCAAAAAGAGACTAACGTTATTTTAATTGGGATACATATGGTCTCAAATGATTCTTTTTACAATTGGCCTATAATCTGCAAAAAAACATCTTGATTTTTGTCTTTCACCGTTTTTTTGAGAATTCACATAGAAAGTGATATTATGATTAAATGCAAAAAAAATCCTCCCACATACGATCCCGCGTCTCTGGGGTGACAGCAATATGCCTTAACCACTACACCACCATTGCATTCAACAATAAGTAACATAGAGGCACGTAGTTTAACTGTCAATGAAGAACGCACTCAAGGCAGAAAGTTTTGCATCACACAAACAGTTTTTATCCACTGTCGCAATTTTTCAAAGGCTTCCTGATATAAATTCTCGTTTTAGTCTTTGTTTTGTCATTAATGATTTGAGAATCATAACAAGACCTTTTTTAGTTCTGCGGCCACATGTTATTTTACCACTGAGATTAGCTAGCCGCGGGGAGTTGAGGCAACCCAGATGTCGGACTTTCTGACTGGTGAAACGGCGGAGGGTAGGACATCAAAATGAAAACAATAACAACTTTTACGGGTCGTAAAACTAATTTTGATTTTCAAATATCTCGGCTGAACTACTGTTATTAGTTACAGATGTATTTGGAAAGAGCATGATTTAATAATGCCTTTTGAAATATTGGGGCCTTTTAATTATGACTTGACATGCAAATATTACATAACGCTACTTTAAAGGCGCTATACCAGTTTCTACAATGTTTGAATGTTTAGCACCGCCCCCAACTCGCTCAATGGCTTCTCATTTCCCCTACGCTCTCATAACACGGAGCCACCTAGTTTTATTTGCGATCTGATACGTATGCTAACATTAGCATTAGCGCAACTTGTAAGCTGTGCAACAATCACTGATGAAATGGCACTAAAGCAATGCACTGCCAACACAATATATAAGTAAATATCGTCCAAATGTATTAATTTAAAACCTTAGAATATATTCTAATATTTAATTATAATTTGTTATAGAGCTCCTCAAAGCAGCAGCAGCAATTCTTCCGATCATTTTTTCTTGATAACGGAACTCTCAAACCAATAATGACCGCAGCCCCAATGCAACCTCTGTTTGTAATTCAGGTGTGTAAAATACTGCCATTACTCTGCAAGTACAAGCTATCAGCACCTGTCACTACATTGTGCAGTTTTTCTGCACACTTGTCTGTGTAGAGAAGCTAGCAGAGCTAGCCACGCTCAATAAACAAATACATATCAATCAATCAACACCATTAAACGTCAATCGGACAATACTACATATACATCCTTAACACACATGCACGGACGATTTCAGAATTTGCTGTCAACGTTTTCATGACAAAAATACTGTTTTAAAGTGACAAAAAGCGATCGCGAAAAACCCGGAAGTTACCATGAAACAGCTAGCTAGCTTAGCTGTTACCTGCCTAGCACGTCCCGGTGAAACCTTTGGGAGCTAACTTTTATTTGCAGTCATTAAATACATTTCTAATTATAAGGGTTGTCTAATATTTGTTCAAATATGTATATATTTTTTATTTTAGAATTATATTCGAATTTTGAAGTCTAAGCCCTGGTGTTAAGCAGCGCTGTAGAGGCTAGAGGACACAGGCTGTAGAGACTAGAAGACACAGGCTGTAGAGACTAGAAGACACAGGCTGTAGAGACTAGAGGACACAGGCTGTAGAGACTAGAGGACGCAGGCTGTAGAGACTAGAAGACACAGGCTGTAGAGACTAGAGGACACAGGCTGTAGAGACTAGAGGACACAGGCTGTAGAGACTAGAGGACACAGGCTGTAGAGACTAGAAGACACAGGCTGTAGAGACTAGAGGACACAGGCTGTAGAGACTAGAGGACACAGGCTGTAGAGACTAGAGGACACAGGCTGTAGAGACTAGAGGACACAGGCTGTAGAGACTAGAGGACACAGGCTGTAGAGACTAGAGGACGCAGGCTGTAGAGGCTAGAGGACGCAGGCTGTAGAGACTAGAGGACGCAGGCTGTAGAGGCCAGAGGACGCAGGCTGTAGAGGCCAGAGGACGCAGGCTGTAGAGGCTAGAGGACGCAGGCTGTAGAGGCCAGAGGACGCAGGCTGTAGAGGCTAGAGGACGCAGGCTGTAGAGACTAGAGGACGCAGGCTGTAGAGGCTAGAGGACGCAGGCTGTAGAGGCTAGAGGACGCAGGCTGTAGAGACTAGAGGACGCAGGCTGTAGAGACTAGAGGACGCAGGCTGTAGAGACTAGAGGACGCAGGCTAGAGGAGTACCCATTGATTATTAAGCTTGGACCAGTGGGGTCCGGTGTTCGGGCCCCACCACGTAAAACCAGTCCCCATGACGTGAGTGGAATCTCAGGTTATGGAACCCACCAGGAGTTGAAAACAAGTGCACACATAGACACACACACAGACAGACACACACACACACACACACACAAACACACACACACAGACCTTGCAGCAGCAGATGTACATGATCAATGTCCAGACCGTGGCTCCTCTCATCGTCGGACGCCATCGTTACCACGGAGACGCTTCACTGCACATCTGCAAACACACACACACACCTGGGTAAAGCTGGGGTCTGTGACTTTAAAGCTGGGGTATGTGACTTTAAAGCTGGGGTCTGTGACTTTAAAGCTGGGGTCTGTGGCTTTAAAGCTGGGGTCTGTGGCTTTAAAGCTGGGGTCTGTGACTTTAAAGCTGGGGTCTGTGACTTTAAAGCTGGGGTCTGTGGCTTTAAAGCTGGGGTCTGTGACTTTAAAGTTGGGAACAGCAGGTGCCACAGTGGGGCGGCTGCGGCTGTAAAGTGCCAAACTGTGATTGTGTCCTAAGGCAAGACACTTCCCCCACATTAGAATGAGTCTGGTGTGTGTGTGAATGGTTGGTGGTGGTGGGAGGGGCTTCTGTCAGTGTGCCCCAGGGCAGCTGTGGCTACAGTAAAAGTTTATCACCGCTGACCTTGGGGCTCTAAAGCCACACCCCCAGTTTAAAGCCACGCCCCCAGCTTTGACAGCAGCTCTGATGTTGATTCATAATCTCTAATGGTTTTAAAACTCAGGTTATGAAAGAGTGAATGCTGCTCAACTGGTTCTACACCGACACACCTGGTTATGAGTAATAACCTTAACAACCAGAGAGACCAGAGGGAGACAAGAGAGAGACAAGAGAGAGACCAGAGAGAGAGAGACCAGAGAGACCAGAGAGAGACCAGAGAGAGAGATCAGAGAGAGACCAGAGAGAGACCAGAGAGAGAAACCAGAGAGACCAGAGAGAGACCAGAGAGAGAGACCAGAGAGAGAGACCAAAGAGACCAGAGAGACCGGAGAGAGAGACCAGAGAGACCAGAGAGACCAGAGAGAGACCAGAGAGAGACCAGAAAGAGACCAGAGAGAGACCAGAGAGAGAGACCAGAGAGAGAGACCAGAGAGAGACCAGAGAGAGAGACCAGAGAGAGACCAGAGAGAGAGACCAGAGAGACTAGAGAGAGACCAGAGAGAGAGACAGAGAGACCAGAGAGAGACCAGAGAGAGAGACCAGAGAGAGAGACCAGAGAGAGAGACCAGAGAGAGACCAGAGAGAGACCAGAGAGAGACCAGAGAGAAAAACCAGAGAGAGAGACCAGAGAGAGAGACCAGAGAGAGACCAGAGAGAGAGAACAGAGAGAGACCAGAGAGAGACCAGAGAGAGAAACCAGAGAGAGAGACCAGAGAGAGACCAGAGAGAGACCAGAGAGAGACCAGAGAGAGAGACCAGAGAGAGAGACCAGAGAGAGAGACCAGAGAGAGAGACCAGAGAGAGACCAGGGAGAGAGACCAGAGAGAGAGACCAGAGAGAGAGACCAGAGAGAGAGACCAGAGAGAGACCAGAGAGAGAGACCAGAGAGAGACTAGAGAAGAACCAGAGATTAGTGTTTTTTTTACTTTATTGAGCAGTTTAAAGCATACAGTAGAATCATAACTGCAGTTGTGTAAACAATCAATACTTGTACAGTGTGTGTGTGTGTGTGTGTGTGTGTGTGTGTGTGTGTGTGTGTGTGTGTGTGTGTGTGTGTGTGTGTGTGTGTGTGTGTGTGTGTGTGTGTGTGTGTGTGTGTGTGTGTGTGGGGGGGGTGTTTGTGTGGGTATGTGTGTGTGTGGGTGTGTGTGTGTGTGTGGGTGTGTGTGTGGGTGTGTGTGTGTGTGTGTGTGTGTGTGTGTGTGTGTGTGTGTGTGTGTGTGTGTGTGTGTGTGGGTGTGTGTATGTGTGTTTTTGGGTGTTTGTGTGTGTGTGTGTGTGTGATCCAACGGTCTACAGAGGATCCAACGGTCTACAGAGGATCCAACGGTCTACAGAGGATCCAACGGTCTACAGAGGATCCAACGGTCTACAGAGGATCCAACGGTCTACAGAGGATCCAACGGTCTACAGAGGATCCAACGGTCTACAGAGGATCCAATGGTCTACAGAGGATCCAACGGTCTACAGAGGGTCCAATGGCCTACAGAGGATCCAACGGTCTACAGAGGATCCAACGGTCTACAGAGGATCCTACGGTCTACAGAGGATCCAACGGTCTATAGAGGATCCAAAGGTCTATAGATCCAACAGTCTATAGATCCAACGGTCTACAGAGGATCCAACGGTCTACAGAGGATCCAACGGTCTATAGATCCAACGGTCTACAGAGGATCCAACGGTCTATAGATCCAACGGTCTATAGATCCAACGGTCTATAGATCCAACGGTCTACAGAGGATCCAACGGTCTACAGAGGATTTAAGTCTGTGATGAGCGGGATATGGATGGACTTGTATTGTAAGAAAAATCTCAGTCCTGGGTCTACAGCCTCAGTCCTGGGTCTACAGCCTCAGTCCTGGGTCTACAGCCTCAGTCCTGGTCTACAGCCTCAGTCCTGGTCTACAGCCTCAGTCCTGGTCTACAGCCTCAGTCCTGGGTCTACAGCCTCAGTCCTCGGTCTACAGCCTCAGTCCTGGGTCTACAGCCTCAGTCCTGGGTCTACAGCCTCAGTCCTGGGTCGACAGCCTCAGTCCTGGGTCTACAGCCTCAGTCCTGGGTCTACAGCCTCAGTCCTGGGTCTACAGCCTCAGTCCTGGGTCTAAGCCTCAGTCCTGGGTCTAAGCCTCAGTCCTGGGTCTACAGCCTCAGTCCTGGGTCTACAGCCTCAGTCCTAATACAAATACATTGAACTGAAATGACAACAGTTGTGTGTAACGTGTTTTCTGTTGCGTGTCTCTGGAATGTGACACAAAAATAGAACCGTGAACACGAGGCTCCGGTTTAGAGAGACCAGAGAGAGACCAGAGAGAGACCAGAGAGAGACCAGAGAGAGACCAGAGGGAGACCAGAGAGAGACCAGAGGGAGACCAGAGGGAGAGACCAGAGAAAGACCAGATAGAGACCAGAGAGAGACCAGATAGAGACCAGAGAGAAACCAGATAGAGACCAGAGAGAGACCAGAGAGAGACCAGCAGGGACATGTTTTTTACAGTTGACAAAACTAAAATAAACTAGATGAAGTCTGATGAAGGATTTGATAAAAACTGATCTGGTTTTGTTTCCAGAAACAGTTTCAAACACGGCCCGAGACCACTCTGGACCAGACCGAGACCGCTCTGGACCGGACCGAGACCGCTCTGGACCGGACCGAGACCGCTCTGGACCGGACCGAGAGCACTCTGGACACACAACATCTGGCTCTTGGGACGTGGAACGTCACCTCACTGGGGGAAGGAGCCCGAGCTCGTGGGGGAGGTTGAGAGATACCTAGAGATAGTCTCACCTCCACACACAGCTTGGGCTCTGAACCCAACTCCTTGAGAGGGGTTGGACGCTCCACTTTTCTGGTGTTTCTCGTGGGGAGAGGCGGCGAGCGGGGGTGGCCATACTCATTGCCCCCCATCTCAGCTCCACGTGTTGGAGTTCTGTGAGATTTCATAACACTTTGAAGCAACTTTTGTTAAAGTTAAACTCATCATTCTATCAATGTGCAGAAGCCAGTACTTTTCCCTTGTTTTGTCTATCTGAAGGCCAAGCTACATGGCACCGTGGAAGCTGCTGATTGGAGGTCTCCATGCCTCCGCTCTGTATAATACACTTGCATTCTATTGTTTCTGTGATCGTGTGCTTTGATCGTGCTGTCTCTACCATCGACAATAAAACATGTCTTCTGTCTGAATGTAAGACGCGATCCCAGACTGTCATCTTCTTCAGGTGGTGGAAGGATGCGGGCCTTGTCTGTAACATCTAGAGAACAGAAGACTTTTTTTTTTACACAAAAATGTGTTTTTTTTTTAAGCCAAAACAGAGAAACCTCAAGAGAATGCATCTGGACCAGCACACTTGGACAATCTGCACAGCCCCTGAGTCCACTCAGGCTGTGAGCTGCTGAGACATGGACAACACCATGCGTCCTCTTTTGCATGGACATGATTTGGAAAAATTGGATTACACAATTTGGACATAATTTGGACTGAATTGAATTGCTGAATCTGGACACTGAAGCTGAAACGTGTGATTGAAAGACACGTCACAGAAGAATTGATGGCTCGACACAAATGCAGCCTGAAAGAATCAACACAGAGAAGTGGGAGAGACTGTTTTCAAAGCAATATCTGGAACCATCGACTGATGAAGTTTGGTATTTTACTGAAGATTGTTGACAAGTTTTATGAAAGATCTGAACATGTTTTATGAGTTTTTGAAGTATTCCGAGTTCTGAGTTTTTTGAAGTACAGAGTGAAGTACCGAGTTTGAGTTTTTGATGTATTGAGTTATGATGTTATGTTGCTGTTTATCGATCCTGATGGTCACACGTGAATGTATGACCAGAGGGGGGAATGTGAGATTTCATAACACTTTGAAGCAACTTTTGTTAAAGTTAAACTCATCATTCTATCAATGTGCAGAAGCCAGTACTTTTCCCTTGTTTTGTCTATCTGAAGGCCAAGCTACAAGCACACCGTGGAAGCTGCTGATTGGAGGTCTCCATGCCTCCGCTCTGTATAATACACTTGCATTCTATTGTTTCTGTGATCGTGTGCTTTGATCGTGCTGTCTCTACCATCGACAATAAAACATGTCTTCTGTCTGAATGTAAGACGCGATCCCAGACTGTCATCTTCTTCAGTTCTCCCCGGTGAATGAGAGGGTCGCGTCCCTCCGCCTCCGGGTGGGGGACAAGTCTCTCACTGTTGTGACGCCCTACGGGCCTAACAGCAGTGCAGAGTACCCGACCTTCTTGGAGTCCTTGGGAGGGGTACTGGACGGTGCACCGCCCGGGACTCCGTTATTCTCCTGGGGGACTTTAACGCCCATGTGGGGGACGCCAGTGACACTTGGAGAGGGGTGAAGGGGAAGACCGGCCCTGATCTGAACCCGAGCGGTGTTCAGTTGTTGGACTTCTGTGCCAGTCACAGTTTGTCCATCACCAACACCATGTTCCACCAGGGGGCGCCAACACCATGTTCCACCAGGGGGCGCCAACACCATGTTCCACCAGGGGGCGCCAACACCATGTTCCACGGAGAGTTGCAAGTTACATGCTGTAAATCTCATAATACATGAATACACACATCCTGTTTAAGTAAATGTTTGGAGCTTTAGAACCCTGTGCTGGGGAATGACGGGCCTACATCCACCAAGGTCTACATCCACCGAGCGTCCTACATCCACCGAGGCCTACATCCACCGAGCGTTCTACATCCACCGAGCGTCCTACATCCAACGAGCGGCCTACATCCACCGAGGCCTACATCCACCGAGCGGCCTACATCCACTGAGCGTCCTACATCCACCGAGCGTCCTACATCCACCGAGCAGCCTACATCCACCGAGGCCTACATCCACCGAGGCCTACATCCACCGAGCGTCCTACATCCACTGAGCGTCCTACATCCACCAAGCGTCCTACATCACTGAGCGTCCTACATCCCTACATCCACCGAACGCCCTACATCCACCGAGCGGCCTACATCCACCGAGCCGCCTACATCCACCGAGCGACCTACATCCACCGAGCGTCCTACATCCACCGAGGCCTACATCCACCGAGCGTCCTACATCCACCGAGCGACCTACATCCACCGAGCGACCTACATCCACAGAGGCTTACATCCACCGGGCGTCCTACATCCACTGAGCGTCCTACATCCACCGAGCGTACTACATCCACCAAGCGTCCTACATCCACCGAGCGTCCTACATCCACCGAGCATCCTACATCCCACCGAGCGTCCTACATCCCACCGAGCGTCCTACATCCACCAAGCGTCCTACATCCACCGAGCGTTCTACATCCCTACATCCACCGAACGTCCTACATCCACTGAGCGTCCTACAGCCACCGAGCGTACTACATCCACCGAGCGTACTACATCCACCGAGCGTACTACATCCACCGAGCGTCCTACATCACCGAGCGTCCTACATCCACCGAACGTCCTACATCCACGAGCGGCCTACATCCACCGAGGCCTACATCCACCGAGCGTCCTACATCCACCGAGCGTCCTACATCCACCGAGCGACCTACATCCACCGAGCGACCTACATCCACAGAGGCTTACATCCACCGGGCGTCCTACATCCACTGAGCGTCCTACATCCACCGAGCGTCCTACATCCACCGAGCGTCCTACATCCACCGAGCATCCTACATCCCACCGAGCGTCCTACATCCCACCGAGCGTCCTACATCCACCGAGCGGCCTACATCCACCGAGCGGCCTACATCCACCGAGCGGCCTACATCCACCGAGCGTCCTACATCCACCGAGCGGCCTACATCCACCGAGCGGTCTACATCCCACCGAGCGTCCTACATCCACCGAGCTTCCTACATCCCACCGAGCGTCCTTCATCCCACCGAGCGTCCTACATCCACCAAGCGTCCTACATCCCTACATCCACCGAACGCCCTACATCCACCGAGCGGCCTACATCCACCGAGCCGCCTACATCCACCGAGCGACCTACATCCACCGAGCGTCCTACATCCACCGAGGCCTACATCCACCGAGCGTCCTACATCCACCGAGCGACCTACATCCACCGAGCGACCTACATCCACAGAGGCTTACATCCACCGGGCGTCCTACATCCACTGAGCGTCCTACATCCACCGAGCGTACTACATCCACCAAGCGTCCTACATCCACCGAGCGTCCTACATCCACCGAGCATCCTACATCCCACCGAGCGTCCTACATCCCACCGAGCGTCCTACATCCACCAAGCGTCCTACATCCACCGAGCGTTCTACAACCGAACGTCCTACATCCACTGAGCGTCCTACATCCACTGAGCGTCCTACATCCACCGAGCGTACTACATCCACCGAGCGTACTACATCCACCGAGCGTACTACATCCACCGAGCGTCCTACATCCACCGAGCGTACTACATCCACCGAGCGTCCTACCTCCACCGAGGCCTACATCCACCGAGCGTCCTACATCCACTGAGCGTCCTACATCCCACCGAGCGTCCTACATCCACCGAGCGGCCTACATCCACTGAGCGTCCTACATCCACTGAGCGTCCTACATCCACCGAGCGTACTACACCCCCCGACGTCCTACATCCCACCGAGCGTCCTACATCCACCAAGCGTCCTACATCCACCGAGCGTCCTACATCCACTGAGCGTTCTACATCCAACGAGCGTCCTACATCCACCGAGCGGCCTACATCCACTGGGCGTCCTACATCCACTGAGCGTACTACATCCACCGAGCGTCCTACATCCCACCGAGCGTCCTACATCCACCAAGCGTCCTACATCCACCGAGCGTCCTACATCCCACCGAGCGTCCTTCATCCACCGAGGCCTACATCCACCGAGCGTCCTACATCCACTGAGCGTCCTACATCCAACGAGCGTCCTACATCCACCAAGCGGCCTACATCCACCGAGCGTCCTACATCCACCGAGCGTCCTACATCCCACCAAGCGTCCTACATCCACCGAGCGGCCTACATCCACCGAGGCCTACATCCACCAAGCGTCCTACATCCCACCGAGCGTCCTACATCCACCGAGCGTCCTACATCCACCGAGCGTCCTACATCCCACCGAGCGGCCTACATCCACCGAGGTCTACATCCAAGGCAAGGCAAGTTTATTTGTATAGCACAGTGTCTCCCAAAGTGGGGTCCGCGGCCCCCTGGTGGGCCGCGAGGGTACTGCAGGGGGGCCGCGGGAGGTCATAAAAAAAATAAAAAAATAATATAATTATTTAATGTTAAATTTATAATGTTTTGTTTGTAATATTAAAATATTTGTGTTCATTATTTGACTTGAATAATCCACTGTAATCATTTTTGTATTACAATGTTTGTAGCAGAGGCTATTTTCCCAAAATAAAATAACCAGAAGAGCCTATTCTTAATGTTGTCTTCTTGGTTATTATTTTGGCATGTCACGCAGTCAGATTTTGAAGGGGGTCCAAATCAAAGGGGATACTTTAACATGGTCTAATTTGCCCCGCATGACTGTCATTTCAACGAAGGTAAAATACTTGATGGAAAACATCCATTAGGGGCATTACATGTATCCCTGACGAAATTGTTAGTAACCAGTGACGGAAAACTTCCACTAGGGGGATTACATGTCCCCCTAATGGAAGTTTTGTCTTTGTTTTAAAAAAAAAGGCGTCCAAATTGAAAGATAAGTCTTATCTTTCAATTTGTCCACCTTTTTTTCTTTTTTTTTTTTTTCATTTCAAACACTTTTTTCATACATATATATATTATTGAAAATGTTAAGAACAGTGAACAATATACAACATTTTTTTAATAAACATCAAAACATTTAAGAACAAACAAATAAAAAACTGAATGAACTACACACAAAAAACTACATCAATCCTTTTGGCTTTGTCTTGTCTTTCTTTTCTTTTTAATGTCCATCAAGACCACCTTCAGGCTTTTTATTGGGGAGTATTTACTTTTAATTCGCTTAACACTTTTCTGGATCTATAAAGAGGAAAAAGAAATCAGGAAAAAGACCTCAAGACTAAGTTATGGTCAAATGTAAAGTGTTATCACTCACATTACTCGGGGAGCGTGTTCTTTTGGCGCCTTCACCTGTGGTCTTGTGGTTGCTCACCTGCACAAAAATGAAAGTGTATACCATTAGGAGTTTCTGTAATGGGCGTTCACTTCTAGATGGGAATTGCACTTACATTGACGAGGTAGCCAGCTTTCTCATCTCCCTTGGCCTCCCTGACCTCCCTGGCCAGCAGGTTTGTGTAAACACATGACCTGTGGCAATAAATGGAGGCCAGGTAGGCCGCCAGGTGTCCGAAGAACCGGAAGCGGCTCACACAGTCCTCAAGGGACGCAGCCTCCACCTCATCTGAAGAGACACAATTAAATTACAACCCACTCAAAATGTCAGGTTAACACATTTTGAAGAAGGATATTACCCAGGAGGGTGGGGATGACATCCCTGCACGCCTCAATGCAGCGCGTCAGGTCCTCCCGGGAAATCAGCCGGTCCAGCTTTTTGGCCTTGACGGCCTGCTGGTGCGCTGTCACATGCCGGCTAAAGTCCCGGGCCAGTTTAGCCATCTCGTGGTGGAGGATCCTGATGCGCTGGCTGGAGATACGGCAGCTCTTCTGGCCGAACTTTATGAGGTACACCAAAAAGGCCTTCGCGTTGGCCAGAAAGATAACTACTGTGGTGGGTTCTTTCCCAAGGGCCTCCAGGAGAGCAGGGTAGCTTTAGAAAGACATATTTCAATGTTAAAAATGAAGTTTGATTTCAGAAATACCCCCCCCAAAATTATTTCATACTCACACTCTTATCATGGCGAGGTTGTCCAGGAACGTCCAGTCCCAGACCCGCTGGGTCTGGACGTCCCTGGTGCAAATTAAGAGGGCCAAAAAACATTTGGCCCTGGTGCACATGCTAATGCAGTTTTGCTGCACCTTTTCTTACGCAGTTGCCCTGAATACATAATTGGCGTATTCATCCATTTTCTCCTCTGCAAGTACAAAGTGAAGCATTTTGTAAATAAAAGGTGTGAACATTTTGCTGTTTTACCAGGATCTCAATATGAGGTAAGTGTCTTGCTCAAGGACACGACAACAGTGTCCACAAGCAGGACCATGAAAACGTCTCTACTTACGGAGGCTCTTGGGAAATCGGAAATTATCCGTGCTGCCCCTCCTCCGGTCCATAAATATGACCACCAGGGCAGGGTGGACCGGCAAAGTGCGTTCCTCCTAACGATAAAACAGAATTTCACAATTTCCGCCGGAGAAGTCATTTGACCTTTGTCAAAGACATTTTTACTCACGCTTTTGTCTCCTGCGATGAGGGAGATGTTTTGTCTAAAGTCCTCCAGGTCCTGGTGCGATAAATCCTGCGTTTCTTTCTCTTCCTCATCCCCCTCCTCCTCCTCCTCCTCTTCCTGGATCACCTCTAATTGTGCAGCTGCAAGTGCAAAGAAATATGTTGC